ATTTTTAAAATTGAGTAACAGTAACAAGATACAAATCACAGTGCCAAATATATTAACATTAGAAAATCGCATTCATGTCATTATATTTTTGCAATATTGGAGCATTAGAAAATTACCAAAAGTTTTGTCAAAAATGTCAACTATTTAAAATCTTTTTGTTAAAGAAATTAAAAAGTAGTGAAAATTTACATATATTAGCAACGCATTAAAGTCTGCACGAATATCAAAATTTGCAGGAAACATTTGAAAACATAAATAACGACAATTGTGCGGTTAATGTACTTGTGCTTATAAGGTCAATAAACTAATAATTAATAAAACTTGAATCTTCAAATTGAATAAAGTTATGTCATAGAAGTGAAAATATTAACTTCGGAAAATATTAAAATATTAAATCAATGCATTAATATCTGTATTATTTTTGCAAAGTTTTGAGCATTAGACAATTTACCAAAAATTTCTTCAAATGTAGTACCGAATTGAACTTTGTTAAAAATGATGTAGTAATAAAAATCTTATAGGAAAGGATAAATATAGTAAATATAGATAGATATATATATAAATAGGATAGATAGTAATAAAATCTTATAGGAAAGGATAAAAATATAAAATATATACAGTTTTTTGACAACGATAATTACGACAAATCTAGTTTTGGGAACACTTTTTCATCTCATAGAAGTGATGATATTAACTTTGGCATCATCGCATTCTAGCAGGTATAGACGAAGTTAACAAATACAAAAGCAATTGAGTACAACGTAGCAAAATTTTGTCCCAGAAAATACATCTGTACCTATATGAATGGATTTGCTTGAACATGTGCTGTTACTCTAGTATTTATGGTATTACCAGTAAAAGTCAAACAACTCAAAAAAATTTTTTTTCTTTTTATTACCATAAGAAGCAATCAAACATAATTCAAGAACTACAAAAAATATTTTTTTTTAAAACTAAATATCTAGTAAAGATTCCAAGCATATTATTTATTATTTATTAAGTACAAAGTATTTTATTTCCATTTATATAACTCGTTTGCAATATTTGCACTTCCTATTACTATAACCGCATTGTGAGAAATCCCATAAATAATTCTGACATTATAGAGATTCACCATCAATTGCAATCGTTTAAGTTGTGCAAATAAAACAGGATTTTAGAAAGCAACCGGTGTCATATGTCGAAGGAGTCGGTACAAGAAATAAAAGATTTATAAATCACGATTTTATCAAGAAACAGTTTGCACATCGAAATCAAAATACAGAGAGAGAACTCACAAGAAACAGTTTATACACCAGAAAAATTCCCTGAACTCAGATCACAATCGTGTAATTAAATAAAAAAAATTAAAGAAAAGCTCTCGAAGCTAATTTCTGAAACTTCTCGTATCGTAATAAAATATTCTAGGAATATTAAATGATTTCAAATAGATTATTATAAATATTGTAACTTTCATTATTCGTATTTTGTAAACAAAATATAAGATATAAGAGCTTATAAGTTGAACGATAACGTTTATAAATGTTTATATGAAGTAAATGTACAGAACTTAATCAATCGTATTTAAAATGAAGGACATTGTCTCATATTTCTAAGAACTATGTACACTGACTTGTAAAGTTAAATTATTTATTTCAAGTATATAAGAGAGCTTGGAATTTAGTTAGAAATAAAATTAAAATCGGAATCATTTTCGATATTCAAAGAACAAATTTTGGTAAAAAAAGTTGATAGAAAAAATATTAGTTTTTAGATAAAAATAGGGAGTTCTTACCGTGCACAAACTTCATTAGCAGGAATTAATCTATGTGATAATATGTGTTACATCAATTAAGAATTGAAATGTAAATATAGATAAACACTAACCAACAACTTTTCTAATAAGTACATTTTAATAATATGAAGATTGAAAATTTATTTAAATTTCAATTCATCCAATTAACTTCATTTAATTATTTACATGTTAGATAACAACACTGATAAGCTTATCACAACTATTATTTATTTCTTATTTTTAAACTACCAAGAAAACAAAAAAAAATAAAATAGTCAAATATTTAATCTTCATATTTATGGATGCAAATTGAAGGAAACTCAATTAAGGAACGCAAGTTAGTAAACATATCACTTATTTCCACATAAAACTTATAATTCTCCACTAATTCCATCAGTAATTGTATGAAGTGTTCAATCAAGAATCACAGTAAATTATATATGCAAGATTGAAAATGGTTACAAGTATGAAGCATATATTATTGCCTTGCAAATTACGACTCACAATAACCGATAAGTAGTACAACCGCGATTGGCCCGAATGTTATTGCGACCAATTATTAAGTACAGGTTTAATATTATGTTACGCAGGCGCGTAGTGCGAAAATGCATCCATCAAACTATTAATTGAGGAACTACTCTTGAAAATTTCACAAAAACTTCATATAAATACAGAGATAAACTTAACAGACACCAAATTTTTTGGACAGATCTTTTGTAACAGAAAAGTACCGTAAAGTAGAAGTTTAAAAAACAAAACGCCACTTGATCTAAGTCAAATATTGATTCTTGATGAAAATTAAATTATCTTAATTTGAGAAATTAACAATTTTAGTTTATATTAAAAATGATTTTATAATATCAATTTTAATTTTTGTATCGAATAGAAAATGAACTGTTGAGTTGGATTTACCAACATGCCATTATTTAACACGTTGATTGCCATGTCAGACATATGACTCTGCTGACATAATAGGTTGTCAAATATCTCCCCTCCGCCTTTTTGTAATATAAACCAAGAGCAAAAAAGCGGAAGGGAGATATTTGACAACCTGATACATAATTTGATACAAGAAGAAAAGTTTTAATATAGATTCATGTCAGTCATAGAGAGCGTACATTAATTACGTGACCATTTTTTTAGAGATTTTTAGACCCTCCCCCCCTTTGGTAATACGTGGTGATATTAAAAATTACCCTTCCTTCCCCAAAAAATAATATCACGTGTATTTTTTGTAGAAAAAATTGTCAATTTTTTAACTTTTTTTCAAATGTGATTTTTTTTAATTTATGTAAAACATAAATACACGTGATATCTTACTAAACCCCTCACTAACCCACGTGATATTTCGTGATATTTTGTCAACCCCCCCCCCCTAAGCCTAAAAACCTCACGTGATCAATGGCAGCCCCCATAAATATTTGACAAAAAAATAATGTTTTTCCAGAGAATTTTGAAAAAAAACATTTTTTTATACATTAAGTTTTTTTGTCACATTTTTAACTAAATTATCTAATAAGGTGCCATAGCCCATGTAAGAAATTTTTCTATACTATCGTGGAGATTAAACGTGTTAAATCATGTCTTTCATAGAAGTGAAAATGAGAAAATCAACATTTACTAAATGTCCTGAACTAGACAGTATTAAATATGTAAGACAATAAAAAAAAAACTTCTTGAAAATCAACTAAGAAACCAGTGTGAAATATCTCAATGAATTGGACACAATAATAATATCAATAAATAATAAAAAAATAAGACGAAAAGAAATGTTGATGATAAAGGACCTAAAGAACTATTTATGCAATACCAAAAATCATCACCCCGGACGCCCCCAATCAACGGGTTGGCAATTCAAACTCGCAACTTGAATTTAGACATTTCAAGTAGACCAAAATTTTGCTGAGGCTGCATAAGGAGAAGAAGAAAAAAAAAAATCCTACTATTATAGTATGAAGTATCTGATCAATTACTAAATTATAAATGTAAATGTATTTTCTCAATAAATGTAAAATTATTACTACGTAATATAGAGCTGTAAAAGTGATTTTTTATTTCCTCTACAAACGATTTTTTTATTATTAATGGGATTCAAAGAAAAAAACAAAATTTAAAACCTTCTAAACGAAGCATTGTGTTGTCAAGGCCTCAATAGAAAGTGC